TCAACCAATCAGGATGGCCTTGCGGTATATGCACACAGGTCAGGGGCACCTCTCTGACGCATTTCGTGTAAAAACACTTCCGCAGAGGACTATCAGAAGCTTTCTTGGGGCTCATTATTTCCATGTGAGCCCCTTTTTGAAGGTTCCTAAGGATTTGGAGGATATAGGACTTCCCCTTTTCCCCTGCTGACAATGGCCCTGGTGGAATGCTTAAGAATACACCTAGACTGATGACATCTAGTGGCCGACTTGCTGATGACATCTGCCTGGTATCACAAGTCCAGAGCACCAGGAGCAGGTCTTAATTGCTCCATGCGCAATTTATGCGCTATCTGGTTAGTGCATTGTTTGTACATTCACAAAAACACAAGTCACGGTTTTCTTGATCATGGACGGATGGAACACCTGCACCTAATTACTTTATTATAAGGACTGAGTTATCTAACATATTTAACATGTTATTGTGCATAATTTAATTATTCATTATTTTTCAATCACTTGATTATACATATATAAGCGCTGCATACTTATTTTATATTTCCATACTGGGTTGAAAGGTTGCCTTTATGCTAGCGGCTTTATATTTGATTATTGTTCCCAGCACTCAATTACTACTTTCTCATGAATTTGAGCTATAGTGAAGTAGGGGGCAGGAGTGGTAATTACATTTAAAAACCAGCACCATAATAAATAAAAAAAAACCCCAGTGGAGGGTCTGGTATGAATTTTGAGGGGAACTCAATGCCAAAATTAAAAAAAACAAAATGGGTGTGGAAAGTTCCCAATATCAATACCAGACCCTTATCTAAGCATGCAATCCAGCAGACCAGGAAAAAGGTGAGCAGGAGCAGGCCCACCTCCCCCAAACCATACCAGGCCACATGGAGGGTGCTTTGGGGCAGGGAAGCTCCCCCCCCAAGCTCCTTGTCCCCATGTTGATGGGGACAAGGGCCTCTTCCCCATAACCCTGGCCGTGGTTGTGGGGGTCTGCAGGCAGGGAACTTACTAGAATCTGGAAGCCCCTTTTAACAAGGGGGGCACCAGATCCCAACCCCCATGTGAATGAGTATGAGTACGTGGTACCCATACTCAAAGAAAACAAAAAGTGGAGTGAAAAAGAGACAGGATACGGTCTAACAAATTCTTAATTAACTAGCTGCCGACCGCAGATAGCCGAATGACGGCTGCACTGCGGCCAGCCAGTTTTGAGTGGACGTCGTACGACGTCCTCCCACAACGGGCTCTCCTGCGCGCCCCAGGGGGCACGCACCCGGCGATCTCCGTGATCGCTGTCTCCTACAGACACAGCTGATCACGTGATGTGGTAAAAGGCCAATCACAGCGGCCTTTTACCACGTGATCAGTGGTGTCCAATGACAAGCTGATCACAGGAAAATGCAAGTGCCGGTTCTCGGCTGCACTTTCCTCGCGCTGTCAGATCGTGAGGAAAGTACTGCAGAGAACCAGCAGTTGTCAGAGCGGGGATCAGCACCGATCATCAGGGCACTGATGATCAGTGCCCTGATGATCGGTGCCCAGCAGTGCCACCCGCAAGTTCCGCCCACCTGTGCCCAGCAGTGCCACCTACCTGTGCCCAGCAGTGCCAACCACTTGTGCCCACCAGTGATGCCAGTCAGTGCCGTCTATCAGTACCCATCATCAGTGTCACCTAACAGTGCTGCATATTAGTGCCGCCTATCCGTGACACTTCATTAGTGCTGTCTTTCAGTGCCGCCTATTCGTGCCACCTCATTAGTACTGCCTATCAGTGCCCATCAGTGCTGCCTCATCAACGCACATCAGTGAAGGAGAAAAAATACCTGTTTGAAAAAATTTATAATAGAAACAAAGAAACTTTTTTTTTTTTTTCACATTTTTTATTTATAGCGCAAAAAGTAAAGCGCCCAGTGGCAATTAAATACCACCAAAAGAAAGCTCTATTTGTGAGAAAAAAAATGATCAAAATTTCATATGGGTACAATGTTGCATGACCGTGCAATTGTCAAAGTATGGCAGCGCTGAAAGCTGAAAATTGGCCTGGTAAATAAGGGGGTATAAGTGCCTGGTAGGCAAGTGGTTAAAAGAAAGAAAACTAAGAATGTCCCCCACAGTAGATCCAAAACGTCAATGATGATGCCCACTGTCAAGAAAGAAGAAAAAAAGTCTACTTCTGACTATGGCTTCCAGCCTTCTACCTGCTCTGGTGGTTTGACAGTTCTTAAAGATCACCCGAGTGACCCTGTCCCATGTGACATCATTAATGTCACATGATGTCCCCAGGTGGCCCCACCACTTACAGACTTAAGAAATGTCAAACCACTGGAGCAGGCAGAAGACTGGAAGCCATAGTCTGAAGCTGAAACATTAACACATGGTTGTCACCACTAAAATACGACTCGATAAAATAACTCATGTGGTATTGTAGTAGCATTTACTTTTTTCTGATCTCCGCAACAGATTAATTGGTTTTCAATGCATTCCTATGGGAAACAGCTTTTCGGTTTACAAATTTTTCACTATATGAAAAGTCCAGCAAAACGCATTAAATTTGTAAACTGAGGTATTGCTGTACAGCGTTGCATGACTACACAATCAAAGTAACAGTGCCATAATCGAAACAAATGGCCTGGTTTGGGGGGGGTTGAGAATCTTCCAGCGCTGAAGTGGTTAATGCAAGAGACATTTGTAGGGCTGTAAGTGTCAATGGACTACAAGTGCATGGACATCACCACATTTGTGTTCCATGGAGAACTACAAGTCCCAACTTCACAGAGATGCACCAATTTTAAAATTTAACAGGGGCCAGCAGGCCTAAACATGTATGAAACATTAAAAAGATAGAGGTAGCCTTTAAATACACAAACAAATCAATGACACCATTGATTTGCAGAGCCTAGACCAAGGGTCTGCTGTGTTCCCCAAACCAGGTTCAAGGCCCCTCTAAGTACTTGACAGACCACTTAACTTCAAAGCATACACTGTCCTTGTTAGATTCGTGCAGGTATCAATAGTACCCAAAATCCATCACACACACCCCCTCAACCACCAAATCAAAGTTGCACCTGCCATACTTTATACATTCCCATGTGTTTGGCAGCCTACTGAAATAAATGGGCTGTTAAAACGGAAAGTGCAAATTATGTGTTCCAGGGTGAAGCTGCTCCAAGACTGAAAACAGGACCAATAATAATCAATCCTGTCTAGCATATTTAGCAGAGTAGTGGATTTGAAACTAATAAGCACAACAGAAAGGGTTTTACACACCTGTCCTACAATCCACATTTTTTGCTTTTGCAAAGATGGAGCTGCCTGTAGTGTTCTACACATTTGACTTTTCTGGGAGTGGTGGATTCCTGTGACCCCTGCTGTCTACAGAACATCAGCAGAACGCACTATGGTTCTGATTCCTTGTGTCACTACAGGACAGACTACATTTGACAAACCTGAATGTGAAGTCGCTAATGCTGCAAGAGAGCAGACTGGAGCAACATACAGAAAACCAGTAAGCCTACTGACTTTACCAGTATCTACCATTCTTTAAAAACACAAGTGAAAAATTTAGAAGTCACCATTAGCCCAACAGTTAGGTTTAAGCATGTTTAAAGTGAGCCATGAATGCATCTCAGAGGATATGGGTAACAGTTGGCTATTTTCTTCAGTTGTTTCAGAAGAGGGAGCCAAATTCTCATCACAGATGACAAATTCATGCAAACACACACAAAAAAAATATTCACATTAAGAAAACCACACCATTTATAGCAAAGCATTTTTACTGCCAAGCCAAAGGAATTGACCAGAGGGCACAAATGGAAGAACTCTGAAACTATCCAGCATGTGTCTTGCTTCATAGTACATTACCAAGCTCCAGGACATTACTACTTTGCTTGCTGAGCATGCTGTCATTTGCACAGACTCCAAGAAGCCATTAACTTTACAGTGAATAGCAGTAAAGTAAGCACCCAACCTCTGCTCAACTACAGCCAATAGCATTTATTCAGTACAGTATCAATTACTGGGAGTTAAAGTACAAGCTTGTGATCTGTGCCAACAAGACTGGTAGAAGCCTATAAAGGCAAAGTATTTCTCTACAACCATAAGACCATCTTATAACCTTCAACTACAGCTAGTTTCTCCTGCTTACACAATTTTACAGACAAGAGCAGACAGGCTGGTTTGAACATTTAAAAAACTGCTGATCTACTGGGATTTTTACACACAACCATCTCTAGGGTTGAGGGAATGGTCCAAAAGAAAATATCTAGTGAGTGGCAGTTGTGTTGACAAAAATGCCTGTCAGAATGGGCAGACTGGTTCGGAGCTACTGCAAGGCAACAGTAACAACCACTTGTGACAACCAAGATAAGCAGAATACCATCTTGGAATGCACGTTAAACCTTGAAGCAGATAGGCTGCAGCAACAGAAACCACACCAGGTGCCACTCCTGTTAGCCAACAGGAAACGGAGACTACAATTTGCACAGGCTGAGCAAAATTGGAAAAACGTGGCCTGGTCTGATGAGTCAGTTGTAACATTCAGATTGCAGGGTCAAAATTTGGCTTAAATATGAAAGCGTGGACCTAGCCTACCTTGTATTAATGGTTCAGGCTGGTGGTGGTGTAATGGTGTGGGGGATATTTTCTTGGCACAAGTTGTACCTATAAAGTGGCCGATTAGTATTTAGGGCCTGTGTTGACTGACTGATTCACTTCAAGGATGTTTTGGATTCCTATTCAAGTCTATATCAATTCTAAAACCTGTCTGAAGTCAAAAGCACCCATCAACTCTAGAATTATTTCCAAAGCATTTTAACCTGATGCAGTCAAACCCAAGACCTGTTCACCCAGGTTCTAAGGGTAGTAACTAGCTCCCCTTAACTCAGATTCCAAGAACATCTCTACCAATTCAATGGTATGCCACAGCTTATAGAATGCTATAAATGAATGCAGTAAAAAAAGATGACACGAGACACTGCACTCAAGTCAAATGTTTATTTAGATGTTTATTTCTTGGACTTGAAATATTCTTCAATGACATCTTTGGCCTGGGACTCCTTGCCATAGTCCTGAAAGAATAAATAAATTCATCTTAACAGAAGAATAAAAATAGGTAAAAAAGGAAAATCATACTATAGATCAAGACTTGTAGCCATCTTCAGGGACCTTGAAAACCATAGGGTGGTCTCAAGGCTCGTACAATGGCATTGCTCTTGCCACTATAATTGACTAAACAGTAGTAAAACTATGTTCAGTTTCGCAACAGAAATAATGGCAATAAAATGAATTTGTACTAACTTAATAGAAACATGGGACCCTTCCAGCCCCATTGTATGTCTAGTGCCAATACATGACCATGTGTCCATATTAGATTCACTGAACTGCAAGCTTGGAGGTCAGCTTATAAGCATGTGGTAACCCAATATAGATAATGAAGAATCTAAAATTGCAAACAGTCTCTTCATTAGAACATTAATTCACATCCTCTTGCAAATATGATTTGGCAGTGCGGTACTGTGTGCAGTACTTTCCCAGCTCAGTGCAAGACACTGCACACAAGCCAATAGAATTCTATAAAATGTCACTGAGTGACATGTCAAAGTTAATTTTAAGTGCAATGCACTGGCATCAGCACATAATTGCTCTGGTCTGACCAGGCTACACAACTCTAGGCACTGCAATGGCTGGTGTGAACAAGCCCTTACGCTTGCACTGCCTTTTGAAAACCAATCCTCCACAGCTTGTTTTTCAGAGTGCATTTGGCATGCAGCTGGAAAGAGCCACCTCTTCACTGCCTGTTAACCCTGTGCATGCAGCCTTTAAAGAACTGTCAGACAAGCCCTAGGCCAGGGGTAGGCAACCTGCAGCTCTTTAGCGGTTGTGGAACTACATTTCCCATGAGGCATTGCAACATTACAAAACTGACAGTTACAGCCATGACTTGCAGAGGCATGATGGAACTTGTAGTCTTGCAACAGCTGGAGAGCCGTAGGTTGCCCTACCACTGCCCTAGGCTAAACTACTGGGCCTTCATCCTAAACAGTTACACAAAGCTTGTCCAGATTACCTGCCATGCAGTACAAGGCAGAATACAGCTGTGCAACATGTGCTTTTAATGCTTTGTCATATGAAAGTTCAGTTTGCATGTCACATCACTCACACTGATTACGACAATGTCTGGCTGCTGTAAGCCACAAAAGTAATCAGCCAACACCAGGAGGAAGGGATCACATGTTGCTGACAGGATGAAGGCACCTAGCAGCATCAAAGCTTGCCTGGCCACCCCCCCATTCCATTGATCAGAGACGCAACTCAGTGATGCCAACAGGTAATGGCATACTGAACATGCTTAGCAGCACCACCCTTCCATGTGGGATCAATTATAAAAAGCGGTTTATCACCCCATTAGTTAGCAAGGCTTACAAAAACCTGTTCTGCAGGGAAAATGTAAATTACTTCTACCATCAAGAAGTAAAAAGACCCACAGTCCAACTTACCTTGACAACAACACAACTGCAACCAACCACTTTGCGAGGCTTTCCTTCCCTGTCAATTTTACAGAGGCCGACCCATTCACCAAGTTTTTTGCTGTCATCAACCTAAACAAAATCCTTAGTTAATATTTTAATTACTTCAAATTGTTAAAATTAATGTCCCTTACTAGTTAGCTGCAACTCAGAAAATAAGGGTAACATTTTGGCCTTTTCCTCACAGTATTCAGTAGAGGGAGCCAAATTTTCATCATGTACAGCACAAGCTGACGTTTTCCCTGGTTACCATTTTACAGCTATTGGGACTGATTCACTAAAGTTCTTTGCAAGGTTAATTTGTATTAAATCTTCATTACAGTTCTAAGATATAAGGTTGGTTAGCACTAACCAGCAACTGAAGTGCTGCCTACATGGCTGATCCCATGTTAGCGAATATTTAGGTTTACACTTTTCCATACAAAATAAAAGCAATTTTAACATAAGCTGTTGCATGCCCAAATGACCTTCAGCATTATAAAAATACATGCCTGATCCTGAATGGCCCAACTGCTGCACAGGAGAGGGTAGGCATCATTGAATAGGTGTTAGGTAGGGTATACCAGTCCTCCTGGTCCTTTGGCCCTTATACCCATGAAACAGCTTCAAGTGGAACTTTACCCATAACAACTTTAAATATTGTTCTTTAGCAAGAAACATTCCATGTTAATTATGCTAACAAAACTGGTGTGTTGTAATGTTTACATAGCTATACCTGCAAAAGGGGCCAGGCTAAAGTGATCTAGCAGGATTTAAATTTTCTGACTAAAGTCCTACTTTAAGTCAGCCAATATATACCTAAAGTGTGGAGGGACAAACAGAATGGAATTTTATGCCAGGGGCCATATCCAGCATTTCACTAATCACAAGTTACTTTAGAAGTCATGCATCCCTCAGTAAATAATAATGCAGGGTACAATAGTAGTTGGGGGGGGGAGGGGGTTGAGGCAGGAAACCAACACCTTACCTTGATCAGATTGATCTGATGCTCAGCACAAAGTGCCTCAACCAGCTTCACATACATTGGTTCATCGCAGTTGGATGCCAGTACACAAAGATGGGCTTGGCGTCTGGGGAAAATAGCACACAGTTTATGCCAATAGCTGGGCATACATATTTTCTGCATTTCTAAAGTCTTAATACAGGCTTGTCAGTTATGTTTCTCACTCATGAAAAGAGTGAAGGGGTATCCGACAATATTGAAATCATCATTCAAGCACTGGAAAACCGGATTCATGAAATCCCACTAAAAATTAGCTAGATAAAAATTTACATTTTACACAAACTGTCAGATTGCTGTCAAATGTCTGTACACAACTATGGGAATAGCAGGGGAGGTAGCAAACATTAGACTAGTTACAAAAAATGCCCAGGTAATATAGCAGTAGCAATATTACCAGTATAAAGGGCTATCAAACCATGTCAACAAAAGTCGCCCTGTAAGATTATGTACTCATTTAGCCTTTATGCAGATTTACTTGGTAATTCTCCCAGACAATCAAAAGCCCTGAGACTGACTAGGCGCCACCTTCTTGGATACAATGTCAGCAGCCCCAACTGTCACTCAAGTGAGCATTTCACCTCTCCCCTCAAAGATGTAAAGGATCCTGCACAGGATAGTCACCCCCACGAGATGACTGATATCCAAGGTAGAGGTCTGTTACTAAAAATGACTGTAAAAAAGTCAAACTTTCTAACAAGTTTAAAAGCATGCTGCAAGTGAATATGTATGAAAAAGAAAACCGGGCAGGTAAGCATTTAAGATACTTGTTTGCTTGGACAAAGACCCTGTCACCAACTAAGTATTGGGATATGGCAGAGGTCCCCCCACCTCTGGTGACAGATTTCAATGATCAGTTTAACTCAACCTCACCATCTAAAGGCCCATTAACACCTACACTTTAACGGAAATTATGAGAACTCCCCAAAAGCAAAGGTGTGAATGAGCTCTAAAGGGCTACAGAGTCCCCCTTTTTAACACTATGCAAGCAAAGAAAATCAGTGCTGAATATTAGTGATGCACAGATATACTGGCAGCCAAGAAAAGTTTATTAGCATTTTGGCGATAGAAAAATAGTGCCGATAATTGACTTAAACTCAAAATTGTATCCCATTGACTTCCACAAAAAAAAAACATTTAAGTTTCTTTTAAAATATATATATATATATATATATGTATTCATTTTATTTTTTAATTTGAGTGTTACATTCAATAAATTTTAAGTTAGCAGACTATTTTTTTTAAATTCATTTAGATTTGTGATCTTAATTAAAAAATCTATTACAATTATATATATAAAAAATATGTCGATTTAGGTTTTCGGCAAAGTGCATTATGAATTTTCAGCTTTAATCCAGAAATTGTTTCAGTGCACCACTACTGAATATTCAACTAATCAGGTTTTTCTACACAAGTGGTTCACACTACACATTACCCCACATTCAATGTATAGCATGCTAAAGACCATGGTCAATGGGCTTCCAATTAAATGCAACACGGAAAATACTTGGCATACACTAGTTTAAAACCAGTGCAGATGAACCAGGACCATCACTCAAAAGAATTTCGGTCATTTGAAATTCAAACTGAAGACAGGTAGACTTACTTGTCAAGGGCCTTGGCAGCTTCACGAATCCCACGAGCCAGGCCATCGTGTATAAGTGCGGTCTTGAGCACTTCTTGGAGAGCGGTGTTAATATCCATTACACCTCCAGCAGAAATGCTGCAAGATAATCAAACAATGCTGACTTTTTTTTTTGGAGGTGGAAGAACAATGAAACTCACAGATAAAGCTACAGTTATGTCAGATCCAGTGTCTCACTCATTGGGAGTGAAGGGGTATCCGACTTTATATAGTAACATCATTCATATACTGTAGCATGATCAGTTATTACTTCTAAAAAAAAAAAAAAATCGCACTAAACTGCCCATAACATGTATACACTGCCCAAAAAGTTGTAGCTGGCACACTTTAGTGTTCCCCATTGTTGGCATATCTACAGCCCATGTATTCCTACCTCACTTCCTGACGTGACAGTAACAAAGCACAGGAAGGGATATCCAGTGCATTGATGAGGACACAGCAACAGAAGCACCTTTGCTAGATTAGAGGGGGGCCAAAATAGTGTCCAAAGTGCGGGCCACAGATTTCCAAAGGGCAGCACCACAACAGCATACTTTCATGCTAAGGTGCAATGTGTCAAGACTACAGTATTATTATACAGTATTTATAAAGCACCAATGGTTCGCTCAGCGCTGTACATTACAGAGGGGGACAGAATAATACCAATACAATGCAAAACATGAGGGGATCGAGGGCCCTGCTCTTTCGAGTTTACAATCTAGGAGCCTAGATTGTAAGCTCGAAAGAGCAGGGCCCTCGAACCCCACGTGTAGTGTACTGTTACTGTCTTGTCTCATGTTCTGTCCCCCTTTGTAATGTACAGCGCTGAGCATACCCTTTGGCGCTATATAAATATACTGTATAATAATAATATAATAATAGGAGGGAGGGGATGGTGGCACAGGAGGAGATAGCTGTGGGGGATGGAGTGGTAGGAAGTGTGGAGGAGGTCGGCAAGTTAGCAGGGGGTGGGGTAGGCTTCCCTGAAGAGATGGGTTTTCAGGGTGCGCCTAAAGGATAGGAGAGTAGGTGATAATCTGATGGGTTGGGGCAGGGAGTTCTAGAGGATGGGGGACACCCTGGAGAAGTCCTGGAGGCGAGCATGGGAGGAGACCAGGGAACTAGAGAGAAGGAGGTCTTGTGAGGAGCGGAGTGTGCGTGCTGGGCGGTACTTGGATATTAGGTCAGAGATGTAGTACGGGGCAGTATGGTGGACAGCTTTGTACGTCAGTGTTAGGATTTTGAATTTGATCCATTGCGCAATCAGAAGCCAGTGGAGGGATTGGCAGAGGGGGGTGGCGGAGACGGAGCGGTTGGAAAGGGGAATGAGTCTGGCAGCCGTATTCAGGATCGACTGAAGCTGGGATAGCCAGAGGCGAGGCAGGCCAGTGAGGAGGGAGTTGCAGTGGTCGAGTCGTGATATGATGAGGGAGTGGATGAGCTGTTTAGTGGTTTCTGGGGTTAGGAACGTGCGTATTTTGGCGATGTTGCGGTGGTGGAGTCTGCACGAGTTTGTTAAAGATTAGACTTAGGGCTGGAAGGATAGGTTGGAGTCCAGAATGACACCAAGTACTCTGGCCTGCGGGGCGGCAGGGATGGTGGCGTTGTTGGATGTGACGGAGAAGTCAATGGGGGGGTGGTGTCCGGGCTGGGGGGGGTGAGACAAGAAACTGTTTTGGAGAGGTTCAGTTTAAGGAAGTGGAGCGACATCCAGTCTGATATGTCGCTCAGTAGGTGTGTGATTCAGGCGGAGACCGAGGGGGTGTGGGGGGGGGTTGAGAGATAAATTTGTGTGTCGTCGGCATAGAGGTGGTAGTTGAAGCCGTGAGAGTGTATGAGTTGGCCAAGGGAGGAGTTGTAGATGGAGAAGAGAAGGGGTCCGAGGACAGAGCCTTGAGGGACCCCAACAGAGAGGGGGAGGTGGTAGCATTATAGGTAACACTGAAAGAGCGTTGTGACAGGTAGGATGAGAGCCAGGAGAGAGCAGAATCTGAGGCTGAGGGAGTGTAGTTTTTTGAGGAGGAGGGGGGTGGTCGACTGTGTCGAAGGCCACAGAGAGGTAAAGGAGTAGGAGCACTGAATAGTGGCCATTAGCTTTGGCGGTTAACAGGTCATTGGAGAGTTTGAGTAAGGCAGTTTCGGTGGAGTGACTGTAGCCAGACTGTAGGGGATCGAGGAGGTGATTGTTGTTGAGGTGAGAGCATAGGCGGGTGTAGACTAGGCACTCGGAGTTTAGCTGTAAATGGGAGCAGGGAGATGGGTCTGAGGTTGTTTGGGTCACTGGGGTCCAGGGAGGGCTTTTGGGGGTGATGTGTGCATGTTTCAGAGGGGAGGGGAAAGTGCCGGAGGAGAGGGAGAGATTAAAGATGTGGGTGAGGGAGCGTAGGATGGAGGGGGAGGGAGGTCATAGGAGTTGTGAGGGGATAGGGTCGAGGGGGCAGGTGGTGAGGCGGGCATCAGAGAGGATCTTGGAGACTTCCTCGATGGTAGTAAGGACAAAGGTGCGGAGTGTTGGGGGACTTCAGTATGAGGAATGTAGGGTGGGGTGGAAGTGGAGGTCAGAGCAGTGGTGGGGCCGTGGGAGAGGGGTGATGAGGGGGTAGTTGAGTGAGGGGGAAGGGGGTTGGAGAGAGTTTGAGCAGCGACAAAGTCCCTGCGGATTATGTCGAGGGAGTGAGGGGGGGGGTAGCTGTGTGAGAGAGGACACCGGCGAGTGCGGCTGCTGCCAGCACACAACCCTCCCCAAGCAGTGGTGAGTGCAGCTACCAGCACACCGCCCTCCCCAAGCAGTGGTGAGTGCAGCTACCAGCACACCGCCCTCCCCAAGCACTAGTGCCTCTGCAACTGCTACCAGAACCCTCCCCAAGCACTAGTGCCAGCAGCCACAATAGTATATTGTCCAACAAAAACAGAAGTCGCAGCCCTGCAATACACACTTGTAGCCTTGATACTAAGAGCAGCCTGTAGAGCGGGACATCCAGTACTGAGCATACACTACACCTGGAGTCTATGTCCACCAATGCTCTGTGTGGGCAGCTCTGGGCTGACTGATGCTGGATAACCCGGGCATAGGACAGGAAGTAGTTCTACCCCCAGGACATGCTCTGACCGTCTCCGGTAAGTCTGTCCTCACTAGACCGACACCGGCCGCTCGGTATTCCTGGACACAGCCTACAAGTCAGGATCCAGACAGTGCGTCGGTCCAGTCACAGTATTAGAACACACGACTGACACTATAACCCGGGATGGAGGCACTCACCCTTCCTCGGCCATCCTCGATGTCTAATGGATGTTCGGCGTTACTCCGCTGCAATACAGACACAAACGACAAGCATTAGCAATGCCCATGGGGTGGCCGCTCTTCCTGGGCTCAGGGCGGGCGGGATGCCAGACATTTCCAACAGATTGTAACTTGCACGGTGCTTCCCTTCAGCGCCGCCATCACTTACCCAACCTGCTCCACAGCATGAAGGAAAGAGAAAGAGGCGCGCTGACGTCACATATTTATAGAACGCCAGCCACTGCTCCGCCTTTCAGCGTGAGGACAAAGAGGAGTACTGCGTACTGTAAAGGAGGCACCTTCCGCCATTTTACTTGAGGGCTGCAAGACAGCTGCCATGATTTTTATGAGAAACAAAGTTACCCTCATATTTTTTTGTGTATTGAACCTGTACAAAAGGCCTATTTCCCCTGTACAGATCATTAGTAAGACCTCGTCTGGAATTTGCAGTTTAGTTTTGGGCACCAATAAAAAGAACATTTGGGAACTGGAGAAAGTACAGAGAAGGGCAACCAAACTGATAAGAGGCATGGAGGAGATCAGCTATGAGGAAAAATTAAAGGAAATTAATTTATTCTCTCTTGATAAAAGGATATTAAGTGGGGATATGATCTCCATGTATAATACTTAAGGGGGGGGGATATATGATCACCATGTATAATACGTAAAGGGGGGATATGATCTCCATGTATAATGTAAGGGGGGATATGATCTCCATGTATAAAAGGGGGGGGTATAATACGTAAGGGGGGATATGATCTCCATGTATAATACGTAAGGGGGGATATGATCACCATGTATAATACGTAAGGGGGGATATGATCTCCATGTATAATACGTAAGGGGGATATGATCTCCATGTATAATACGTAAGGGGGGATATGATCTCCATGTATAATACGTAAGGGGGGATATGATCTCCATGTATACGTAAGGGGGGATATGATCTCCATGTATAATACGTAAGGGGGATATGATCTCCATGTATAATACGTAAGGGGGGATATGATCACCATGTATAATACGTAAGGGGGGATATGATCTCCATGTATAATACGTAAGGGGGATATGATCTCCATGTATAATACGTAAGGGGGGATATGATCTCCATGTATAATACGTAAGGGGGGATATGATCTCCATGTATAATACGTAAGGGGGGATATGATCTCCATATAGTTCTGGCTAGCTCAGTGGATTGCTTTAAAAAAAGGCCTGGATTATGTCCTAGATACAGAGAATATAACTGGATACTAACATTGATAGGTAAAGTTGATTTAGGGAATAGTCGATTGCTTCTTGGGGGATCAGGAAGGAGTTTTTTTCCCTGCAGGAGCAAATTTGATCATGCTTTGCTGGGATCTTATGCCTTCATCTGGATCAATTGTGGGTATAGGATTATAAATTTTTATTTATGGTTGAACTTGATGGACTTTTGGCTTTTTTTGGCCAGACAAACTATGTAACTATATAAAGGCAATTATGGAGGATATTAATATAAAATCCCATTAAAATGATAAGCTGGCATGCTGATTAAAGTGGTAGTAATTTTCTTAAAGAACAACAAAAAAAAGCCCAACTGCAATTTAATGTTATAATGTGCTAATATGCACCACATGCTAGCACATTATGGTATAGTTACCTTAAACTGAAGCCCTCCAGTGGCATGCTGTCACTGCTGCCAGGGGTTCCATCTTCACCCGGTCTTCCATCCGAGTTCGCGGGCTTCAGCTGTATGAATGGCCAAGTCACAATGATGTGGTCAGGAGTCACGGTCATGACCATGGCACAGAACTCTGAAGGGATGACACAGGTATGCC